GCGAATTTCGTCAAACCAAATGGCCAGCAAGAACTGCTCTTGATTCTGAAGCTGGTAAAATCCAAAGGCAAACTCACGTGAAGGAGATTTCCAAGAAGGTGAATCTTTGGAAGCAACGAGGTATGATCCCAAAGTGATATTAGATGTTTGAGAAACAACAAATAGTGGAAGAAGCAGCAGGAAGAAGAGTTGGGAAAGGGAGTGAAAAGCCATTGCTGTTGGAATCATACAATCAATGCAGTGCATATAATTATTTGGCCATATACAGTCTTAAGAAAGATAATGCAGTTGGAGCAACCCACCCAGTTTAATGGCATGGATTTTGAGTTAGCATTATTCGTTTGTTACAAGTAATGTGTTTGAATTTTATGAAAATTTTTTCTCCTTTCTTTAATTAATATAAGTAAATAATTTTAATAATAATAATAAAAAAAAAAAGATAACGCGGTTCTCTTCTGACAAGCCACCTATGGAATCCAGTTGTTTTCTACAAGATTTCATTTTCTGAATAAATGAGGCCTTGGGCACATTTACGTGCGAAAAGAGGTAACAATAAACTCAACCATCGAATCGGCCCATTAGATTCAATGGTTCGATTCTAAATTTTAAGTATTTGGATGAGGTGATTAGAATTTTGAGTTCTATTACCGTTGTGAATTTTATCAAAAACAGCCTGATGGTCGCATGTTTCATTTGAGGGGATGAAATGTTCACCCGATCTGGAGATGGAATCTCCAATTGCAAATAATTAATTCATATTAACTTTTTAACCATTACCCATATCAAAAAAAAAAAAAAAAAAAAAAAAACTCAACTACCCCTTAGGGCTTTTTTTTTTTCTTTCTTTGTAAATAATTATTCCTTTTAAGAGCTCATTTATTTAGAAAATGAAATCTTGTACTAGGACACAAGTGGATTCCATTGTCCGGTCAATGGAGAACGGCGATCTTTATTCTTTTAATTGACTTGCCAGATCCCTCCTATCAAGTTAAGGGGGTGTTTGTATGGGAAGAGAAATTTTTTCTTTTAAAGTTCTTTAAATTCTTTTATAGAGTTATTTATATATTTTTATATATTAATATATAATAAAAAGAGAATAAAAATAATATTTTTTATTTTTATTTTTTAATACAATTTTCAATTTGTAAAATTTATTTATTTATTTTTTAAAAAAAGTTTTTTTTTTATAACCATTCCCACTAAACAACTTTTCTTAATTACTTTCTTTATATTAATTTCTTATCAAATATAAAAAAATTAATAACTCAATAAAATTTTAACAAAATTTCTTTACAAAACTTAATAACTTTTTACACAATACTTTATTAATTATTTTCTCATTAAAAAATTTGTTGATAAAGTTAAATTTTAACCAAATAAACCCTAAGAGTAAAAAATCACTGCCGTATACTAACCGCCAAGGGAGGTGGAAGAGGGTCAACCCTCCTAAATGTCTGGTTTACTAATTTCGGGGTCCCCTCCTAAGGAGGAAAGAGACGCTGAGGGAGAGTGTTAAGAGCTGAAGATGATATTTAAATGTTGTTGATGATTTACAAAGTAACAAAGACAATGACCATTGGTTAACAAATGAACAGACGTCCTCAATTACAGAAGAATCATAAATCTTTGTTTTCAATTCAACAAATGTACTAATTTGCAAAAATAAGAACCAAAAACAATGTTGTTTAGGCAACTGATAGCTAGTTTCTAGGTTTCAAGATTGAGCTTTTCATGTTCTTATTAACCCGTGCTTGTAAGAAACCTTGAGCTTGATCTCTGAATCAACCCTGCTGATCAAGCAGAAAAAATGTAGCTAATTTGGACTCTCAATTTTAAGGTTTTGTATAATTTTTATTTTTTAATTTTTTATGCACTTTTTTAATTCTTCAATTATGACAAATGTATTTTTTTATTTTTTTTAGTTAATCCATTAAGTTTATTTAAATATTTATATTTTTAGTCTCTCAACTTTTAATATATGCATATTTTTTTTCTCAATTTTAAGTTAAATGACTAAATGTTGTACCTATGATTTTGATGATTACAAAACACATTTGAGTGATTAATTGATTTATTTAAATATGTAGTTAAATTGCCAATATACTGCAAAGTAAGCAAAATGAGATTACATTAAAAAGGGCTCAAAGGGTAAAAATATGCATAGAGTCGGCTTAAGAAAATTGCAGCTGGCTTTGGAAAGTGCAGAGAGCCGGCTTCAGATTTTGTTGAGCCGGCTCTACAGGCCAAAAATTCAACTGCTGTTTTGGCAGGTGCGGAAAATGGAAGTAAAGCCGGCTCCCACTTTGTAACTGGCTGTGAGGATGCATTTAATGCACAACGGTCGAGTTATTTGAAGATTATTTAATGTGTTTAAAGTTGGAATCCTAAAGCCGGCTCTAGGCTTTGCAGCCGGCTGTGGAAGAAAACAGAATGTGCAGGTAACCCGCAGAGCTGGCTGTGAAGAGCCGGCTCTAGGAAGTTAAGCCAGCACTCCTGACAATCCTGCAACTTGAGTTTTGCCTCCTGCAGGGCATTTAATGACCCCCAACGACTAGAAACGGCTATATTCGAGCAAGGGGCTATAAATGTGGTTGGTAACAGATCTGAAGAAGTTTGGAGAACATTATATTCAATATCTTTACCTACCAACTTGTCCTTTAACTAGAGATTTTGATCTTTGAGAGATTTTTGTTTGTAATCCTCTTCTTGTGCTATTAGTGAGTGATCTTGGGGGTGTGTTGATTCCTTCAAGAGTAATCTATTGAGAGGATTTGTGGGGTTTACATTGTAAAGGGGTGAGGTTTGAGAGAAATACTCATCTTCTTGTAAAAGGATTGAGTGGTTCCTTTAAGCCACCCTTGTTGTTGTTAGTGGAGAGTGTGGAGGAAATCCTTGGTGAGTGAAGCCAAGATAGAGAATTAGGCTCCAAGTTGTTGAACTGAACCTCTATAAATCATTGAGCAAGCTCTTCTTCTCTACTCTCTTTAATTTTGGTTTTGTGGTTGCAAAAAGGGGAGAATTTTTAGAACTCCAATTCACCCCCCCTCTTGGAGTACATTGAGTCAACACTAAAAATATACATATTTAAATAAATTTAACAAATTAATTGACGAAATGATTAAAAAATACATTTTTCATAATTGCGAGATCAAAAAAGTACACAAAAATTGAGGGATGAAAATTATGTAAAATCTTAAAATTGAGGGACCAAAATTGATATTTAACCAAAATTGAATCCTACCAATTCAAATTATGCTATAATACTTCTATAAGCCAAAAAGCAGATCATCAATCATGACTAGAAACTATAAACCAAAAGGTTAAATCCCCCAATTTGGTCCTTAAACTATTGTATGGATTCATAATTTGGTTCCTAAATTAAAAACATCTTTGATTTGATCTCTAAACTATTATATGGACTCATAATTTGGTTCCTACTGTTTACTAATTTGCCCCATGTTGGTCATTTCATACAAAAAATAGCTGACGTATCTGTTACTTAACGACGAAAAATAATAACTTAATGACAAAAAATAGTAATATAATAGTCATGTGTTATGTTAATAATAAGACACATCAGTTGGTTTTTATATGGAATGACCAACTTAGGGTAAATTGATAAACAATAGGGACCAAATTGGGGGTTTGCACAATAATTTAGGGACCAAATCAAGGATTTTTTTAGTTTAAGGACCAAATCAAGGGTCCATATAATAGTTCAGGGACCAAATTAAGGATTTAACCAAACCAAAAATGCATTAGGGAAAAAACTATAGGGATTATTGAGGTTACAAAAAAATGGTGTTTGAAATTACCTCTGTAGCATCCTTTAAGTGACCGCCAATTTTCCATGCGATTTTACTTCGGTGAGCTAGAATGGAAGTAAACCCAAACTAAAGAATTAATTAGCTCATGATGCTCTTTGAAAAAGATTAAATCTCCACTCTCCACAGAGCCCAGCTGCATCAGCACAAAATCTGACAAGTATAATTAGTCACTCAACCAAGACAGTTGTTCAAAATGTAATTACAAAATCTAAGCATCTCTTACCATGATTTTTTCAACCACAACAAGGTATTCACAAAATGTAATTACAAAACAAATAGACAGGTCATGCCCTTAAAAGTCTGGAAGATTTTGCTCCTTTTCTCATCATGATAAGGTCACATTTTTAACACAAAACCAGATCACAGAAATACCACAATCCAAAAACTACACCAATTCGTCCTTTGCCAAAGCATCCAACAACATGTTATATGCAAAGATATCCAATTCGTACCCCTTCCTCCTCATCTCCAGATACACAGGAAACGCCTTGCCTGAGTCATCTGACCTTGAGAAGTCTTGAAGCAGTCACTTGTAAGAGTAAGCATTCATCTTCAAGTCCACTTCTCCACCAACTCAATGCACATATTTATCCAAGTCTTCTGTGGATATTCACAATGGAGATAGTTCCATGTATATTGGAGATCTTCATTTCAACGTCTATGTTCAGTTTAGGGAGGAGGCGCAGGTGGCGGTTATGGTCGTGTCTCACGCTGGGGGCGGCAGCTGAGCTCTATTGGGCTACCCTGGTCGGAGTGACAGCCCGTTTATTGCCACCATACACTAACGACGACTTTTGGTTGGGCCTGGGCTAAGTTTTTGAAGTAGCAGTCTAAGCTATAAAGCCTAGTTTGTGTGTTTCTTATTACCAAAAAAATAATAAATAAATAAAGTTTGTTCCATTTTTCAAGTAGACTTGTCAATCTCCTACGGTACCAATTTTGTTCCTGAAATTGTACAATCTAGGGACTGAAAAATACCATTTATCATTTTGGATTTATCATTATTCTTATAAATATGTATATTTTTTTGAACAGATATAAATAAATCATATATAATTTTGTAACTATATATGTATACAACTAATGATATATTGATTTGAATGAAAAAATATTAACTCTCTGTAATTAAGATATTGATATTACAAAAAAAAAATGATATATGTGAAGCATAAATACACTTCTTGCTTCAAAATAATTGTATTAATTATTTAACTTTTTCTCAAATTAAATATTTAAAAACAATAATTATATTCATCTATACTACCCTTAAAAAAATAAAAGATAAAAAGAGATTTTTGTGATTGAATAATTAATTAAATTTGATGGATAATGATAAATGGAAAAAAAATATTTGTCCATTTTAAAAAATAAAAAAATAACAATTAATTTGTCATAAATTTAAAATAAAAAAATAACATTTATTTTGAGAATGATTAATGCCCAAAAAAGATAAAATCTCATAGACATAAAAGACATAAAAAAATAATTGATATAACTTTTGATTCAACATATCTATCAATATTTATCAATTTTTTTATTAAAATATATAGTTAAAAATTTTCCTATCTTAAATTTAAATTTAAAAATAATAATTTATTAATAAGTATGTTGTAAAATATATTAAACTAAAAAATATATTAATTATTATCTAAAAGATATGTCAAAAAAAGACAAATTTATAGTATATCCTTAAAAATTTTTATTGCTTGTCCTTTTTTTGTTAAAAAAAATTTTAAATTACATAATAAAAAATATTCACCTAATATTTTTAATCCCTAAACTCACTTGATTTGTATATTATTCCACTTAAAGTTAAAATTTATTACTTTTATTTAAAAAATTATTACAAAATTAATTAAATTGTTACCACACAACTTATCTTTTAAATGAAAGAAATCACGTAAAAAAGTAACATAACTAATAATAAAGTATCACCTCTTCATCATGGACATAATTAAGAGGCTAAAAAGAATAGCAAGAAATAGCTGAAATTAGCAAGAAATAGTAACAAGTACAAGCATACCAGGCAGATTCAAAAATAGCTAAAAATTAGCAAGAATATACAAGCGTACCAGGCATATTGACATGCATGAAGGTGGACATGGGGACAACATATCCCTTAAAATTAAGGTTTTGAAAGAGATCAAGAATGAATGTAAAGGGGCATACAGTTTTAGCATAAAGAAGTAAAAGGGGTAGGACAAGGAGGCATAGGAGCTTGGACTACTCCGTCAAGCATTTGAGTGACCTTTCTCATGGAGGGCCTTAGAGAGGGATCTTGTTGTATGCACCATCACTAGCCTTTCCACCTCTGTCATGTCATTGATCGCCTCCTTATCGTTCTCCACTACTCTATCCAATCTTTTCTCTATGTAGCAATCATAGATCCAATCTGTTAGTATCACATCATCCTCATTTTCTCGTTCTACTTCATAGTTTTTCCTGCAACAAATGATCTCTAATAGCATCACCCCATAACTATAAACATCAACCTTTGTTGTAATTGCTATGCTTCGGAACCATTCCGGAGCAGCATATCCCTTTGTGCCTCTGATTGCTGTTGTGGTGCGAGTTTGGTCACTCATCAGAAGCTTTGCCAATCCAAAGTCTGAGATTCTTGCAGTTAATGGGTCATCCAAGAGTATGTTTTGAGGCTTAATGTCACAGTGGATAATGGGTATGCTGCACTCCTCATGCAAATAAACTAGCCCTCTTGCAATCTCAAATGCCATTCGAGTGCGACTCTTCCATTCAGGTCTAGAATCTCCATACAAGAGACTAGCTAGTGTTCCATTGCTCATGAACTCATAGACCAAAAGCTTGTGCGGCCCTTCCTCACAGAATCCAATCAAACTGACCAAATTCTTGTGATGGGTTTTGGCAATTGCCTTTACCTCTGTTTTGAATTCCTTCTCACCTTCTTGCGTTACCTTGTCTAATTTTTTCACAGCAATGGGAAGTACTGTTGAATGTGGAGGTCGTAAAACCCCTTTATACACAATTCCAAAAGCACCTCTTCCGAGTTCTTCTTTGAACTCATCTGTGGCTTCCACAAGCTCTTGGTAAGCAAAAGGCCGTAGTTTATTTCCAAAATGCTTGAAATTTGACCTGGTTTTTGTCTCTTTTTGCAGGACCAGATAGTCAGTATGGAGCTTGCAATTATAAGCAGGAAATTGATAAATGCTGAGCCACCTAAAAGAAATGATCCCACCCGAATCAGACCTGATTGATCTTTCTTCCATAGTCCAGGGCCTTCAGGTCTCGGAAAACTAGAAGCATTAGCTTTTGCTACCTTTACAAATGCTTTGCCATTGATGCTCCTAACCACCATTCCATTTGTTAGAGGCATCTTCTTTTTCCAACAGATTCCTTCTCTGAGTACAGCAACCACACATTCGCAATCATAGAGGCAAGATTGCCTACATCCGTCTTCATTTGATTGTGTCCATTCAAAATTTGCAGATCTTGGCCAGAAAGTGTTAAGTAGCTGACGCATATCATACAGATCCTCTGCCTTCCCAGGACTTGGATTGCATTCCTGTATCCTGTCCTGAATGCACCCATTGAACTTGTTGTTTGGATCAGAGAAATTGAAGCCAGGGAGGCATTCACAACTCGGCCGTGCATTACTGTCAATTGTACAATAGCTGTTAAAGCCACAAGAACCAAATCCCTCATTAAAGTCCCTAGTTGGGGGAGTACTATTCATTGCATTACAAATGTCAGAAGGGATGAACCAGACAATGGTCCAGGACTGATCGGTATTGCCAGCTCTTTGTGGTTTGGGGTAGGCATATTCTGTGAAAATTCCATCAAAATCAAGTGTTGCTCTGTAATAATAATCCTGTAAAGGCACTATCTCACCCGTTGTCAGGTTAACAATCTTACGGTTGCTTCGGACAATGTAGATGTACCTGATTCTTTGAAAACTACCTCGTAACCAGAATTGGCGCTATTATTTGCATCAAAAGTGCCGCTGATGTAATAGGCAGCATATGCATTTGCTTTGGGCAGGGAAATTGTGTTAAGCATAAGGTTACCATTTTCTAGCAAGCGGAACTGGAACCTTCCCCTGGAGTAATTGCTTGGTGTCTGTCGAGAAGATAGCATTCCACCAAGTGGGAGTTCTTGAGTTGGCAAAAGGGTGTCTGCAGGGTTCTTGAAACTCTCCCATGCGTAGGCAAAATCTTTACCAACAAGAACAAAGTTACCTGTGTCTAGCAAAGCAGCATAAGCAACTCCCTCAACAGGATAAGCAGTGCCATCATCCATGAATGTGGCGTTCGAAAGGATTTGGCCATTTGGGGAAGTTAGTTTGAGTTTTTCATCTACTGTAAGCTCAACCCTTGATCCCTCTGCCGCTGGGTTATCTCCGTTTGCATACCAAACAGTTGTTCTATTGGGAATTTTGTCAAACCAAATGGCCAGCAAGAACTGCTCTTGATTCTGAAGCTGGTAAAATCCAAAGGCAAAATCTCCTGAAGGAGATTTCCACGAAGGAGAATCTTTGGAAGCAACAAGGTATGATCCCAAAGTGACATTGGATGTCTGCGAAACAATAAATGGTGGAAGAAGCAGCAGTAAGAAGAGGAGTCGGAGAAGGGAGTGAAAAGCCATTGCTGTTGGAATCATACTATCAATGCAGTGTATATGAATTAATGGATCATATACAGTTTCAAGAAAGACAACACGGTTCTCTTTTGATCGGACCACCTGTGGAATCCAGTTGTTTTCCACAAGATTTCATTTTCTGAAGAAACGAGGTCTTGTCTACAATTACGTTTCAAATGAGGTAACAGTAAACTCAACCACTTCTTTCGACTTACTTACCATATCCCTACTATATAGAGTAGGCAAAAAGTGAATGCCATATATTGACCGCCATTGACCCATGCAAGTTCCAAACTCATACCCCACTGGCGATGCCGTTAATGGGTAATTATCCAATTCTCATTCCAATTGGATCCAGTTTTAGTATGATACTGTCTATTCGTTTGGGTAGTTAATAGATCGAAGCCCATTACTTTAACCCAAATCTGAACCAATGTTGAAAATTATTAGGGTTAGTTTGAGTTTGACAATATAATTAATATATACCCGAGTATGGATCCTTAATGATGGATGACAAACAGAACATATGAACTTGTATTTATTAAAGAATGATCTTGTTTAAATATGGACCCCCAAATTGAATTTTGAAACCCATGTCATGATTAAGAAGGCAATGTGGATGTGGAATAAATAGCCGACACGAACAAAGAAAATAATAATTATGGCCTGGTGGGCTTTGTAAATAGGATGGAGCCCTAATGATATGGGGACCCATTTGTGATATGAGTTCAAGAGTTTTCTACCTATTTGGGAAGCATAATGAGTGGGGCCATCTCATCCTTTATTATTATTATTATTTTTTTATCATTTTGTCAAAGGATCGAGTAGAACCATAGCCTAAGGAAAGGGGGAGATGTATCTACAATAATGGCTAACGCTACTTGACCGTTAGGTCAGATTCTATTCTTTACTTTTTTTGGTTGTATCAATTTTTTAATTTTATATAAATTAATTTCATGATTTTATAAAGTAAATGAATAGTAATTTTTTTTAATTTAAATGAAAATTCTCAACATAAGTTATGTATAGGAAAAAAAAAGAACTTTAATTGTTATTAATTTATGAAAACGTATTTTACATATCATCTTTTTATTTTTTTGAAAATTTTGTCTAAAATTTTATTTTTTAATTATTATTTAAAAAAATTAATCACTATAATGAACCATATAAATCATGTATGTTAATTTTTAAATTAATTTAATAAATTTAATTATTTTATTAATTACAAGAGATTTAAAAGTATTAAATATATATTAATAAATAAAATTTTTAATTAAAAAATTATAAATATTAAGTTAATATAATCATTATCACGTACAATCTAAATTAATAGAAATTTCAATCTAATTATCAATTTTTAAAAATTTTAATTAAAAAAATTTTTAAATAAATCTCCTAAAAATATTTTAAAAACACAACATA